TCAACTTTTTCCAACACGTTGACCATTCCGACACGCGAATTTGACCGTGTACGACACGGTCAAATGACATTTTCGTAATTTTTTTAATTTTTTTTAAAAAAAATTATTTTTTTAAAAATTAAAATATATTAATAAAGCTTCCACCTGATCATATCAATTTTATTTTTTTTGTCTTTTTTCCCCTTAAGTAGATAAGAGATCATCTCAGCATCATTGTTGTCAATTCCTATTACGCTCTTGTTGTATCTCCTTCTCTCTGATCTCTCTCTCTAATAATGATTTGATCTCTCTATCTGATATTATATCTCTCTCTCATCCCAGTTCTTATTTTTTTATTAAAGTTTCCATCTTTATAACGTGTTGATGGGTATTATTAATTTAGTTTCATTTTTTTGTTAAATTATTAAATATTAAATGAAATAAACACTATATAAATTAAAAATATTATTTAATATTAAAATGTGTCTCAACGTGTCGAAATCCATAATTTTTTAAGATTGACGTGTCGGAGTGTCGTGTCACGTGTCGCGTGTCGTATCGGTGCTACATAGGTGTATGTAATTATAATTTAGTAGTTTAATGCATTGATATATGTAGGTGTATGCACTGGGTGTGGCATATGATGATGTTTCCCTATGTTTGTATGTTGCATGACGATGCGTAATTCATACTTTGTAGATTCTCTAGCTAGTGGGACTATTTGCATTTGAGAATCCTTAGGATGGCGAGAATGTCGGAGGGATGTCTTATGGAGATATTTTATGCATTGCATGGCTATGTATATATTGTATTATTTACTGTTATTGCTTTTACACTAAAAGTAAACTTTAGGGTTGAGTAATCCTTCAAGGGCCTCTGGTTTACTGAGATATTTATCTCATCCCGTGTTGTGGGGACACCCCCTTTCAGGTACAGGCAGTGAAGGTGTTGGAGCGTTTGTTGGTAGGAGACCACTGTAGATTGACTTGTACTGCATGCTGTTGACATGACTATCATTGTTGTTTATGTTTTGTATATTATGGACTTGCATATAGCATGTTATTTTAAATGGCTGCAACATCATATGTTTATGTAGTCTTATTTGAGCGTATGTACTGTCGATGCATGAAGGAGAGATTTAGCCTATGATCATATTTATTGGATATCTTTCATGTTGTTGATGCATGTAAAGGACTCTGATAATATGTTTTGTATTTGCTAAGTTCATGTTTATGTAATTATTGGGCTGTTGTGTATTCTGATTTGATTCCTTGATGGAATGGCTTGTATGCCTATTTCATAAATTAAGATTGTATCTGTAATAATTTAAACTACCTATCAGGTTGAAACCATTATAGTGGGAACTTATCCCCAGATGTCCGAAAAACAGACGGAATGTTGTCTGTTTTATTTTGATGATGTTGGTAGGAGATTACCACCCTTTTGTAATTAATTACCACCATTCGTTAATTGGAGCCATGTTGTTTATGGGAACACCATGGCAGTCTCTTATGAATGTTGTATGATATATTATGCTAGTTTAGTTATTCCACACTTTATTCAGTTACAATTACTGTTTTGATTTGTTTATAAATATGAAAAAAGTTTTAAGCAGTAAACGTACATTTTAAGAAAAGAAAAAGTTAAGCCATATTTAATTCAATTTCTGTTATTGTAACTGCGCTTAACATCATAGTAATAATAACAAATTGGTTCTAGAACGAGGAGTTATAGAGAACACTTGGCGATGTGGGGCTATAATACCACATGGAATGGATGTGAATAAAGAAATATCTGAAATAGAAGAGTTAGAAGTCGCAACTGAATCAGGAAGTGTGGTGGTGTTTTCCATATGTGTAGATAACAACTGTATTAGCTAAGAACACTTGGCAGAGTCTACCATGAAGAAAACCATTTTTTGAAGGCTTGGAAACTTAATTCATACAGACACCATTATTAATTGCTCCAAAGGCTTTCTATTTAGGCTTATATCCTAGTGGATAGCCATGGAGTTTGTAGCAATGATCCATGTTGCGACTTCGGCAAGTGCACCAGTCGTAAAAGTAATAAAAGTTTACAAAGTACAAGATCGTTCTCACGAGGATTAGAATTTCAATCACCAGTTCACTACGCTTTATTTGGATAAATAATAATGAGAATTTTTGAATTAAGATTTAAAATGAACAATAAACAAAATAACAGAATAATAATAGCAAGCAGGTAAATCGGAAAGTCTTTAACAATCAAAAGAGCGCAGTTAAGATTTTGATTTCCCCCAATTTTTCCTTTATGTTATGAATTAAACCCTTAAGTAATCGCCCTATATATTGCCAATTAATTCCTCTAAATTAATTAGGACTCAATCCCTTGGCACCCTAATTCTTTATGATTTTGAAGAATCGTAGTTCCCCGACTATTCCCAAAGAAAATAAGCATTAAAATCAAGAATCACAAGATTGCATAATTACCCTAAGTCTATTGTCATACAATCACCCTAAATCATTTTACAAGGAGCAAACTCATAGAAAGCATTAAGAGTAGATAATTTCATGCAAATATAAAGAGGGAAAATTACATTAAACATTCAACCTATAAACATAAAGGTTCAATTGGGTTCCATCTAATCTTAACTACAAAGAAATCTAGTCTAACATAACGAATTCAAAAACATAAGATATAGAAGTTTCCCCAAACTCCATTGGTGTAATGGCGTTGTGAATCCTCAAAGTCCCCAGCGTATTTTTGAATTCAATCTGCCTCCGATGCTCCGAAGTATGAAGGACGCGCTTCTATGTCCAAAATCAGGATTCCACTCTTCAAAATTGTCTTAAAGTCCTCAATTGGTTATGAAAATCCCCTTTTATAGGTAATGGATTTGCGCCCTAAGTCAATTGAAAGAGTTGGGCCTTAATTGGGTCGCAACAGAGCGCTAAAACACTGATTAGCATGCTTTAGCACGCTAAAAACACATTACAAAGTTGTGCGAGCCATAGTAGTCAATCGAGTCGCGCCAGGTGCGCGTTGCGCAGCCTCACCGCAAGAAACAGCTTCGATCCGCTCCGGAATGCCATTGCGGCCATCTGCGGCCAAATAACGGCCATTTACGGACCCTAACCCACTCCTTCACTCCCTCTTCTTGTCGCACGACCCTGCCCTTTTTCTCTCTATCATCAATGTGTGAGAAACATGTGTGGGTGACAAAGATAGAGAAGAGAAGATGCAGAATGTATGTATCCATTCTGGAGAAAGAGAGAGGAACGTCGTCGAGTCCTCTGTAAGCAAACCGGGTTATTGGAGAGAGAAAAGAGGAAGAGAGAAACGTCTTTTCCACTCCCTCTTTCGAATAAATGTATCCACGTTTTAGATTTTCATTCTTTTCACTTTTTTTTCTATTATTTAAAGGGAAAAATGTTTATCCTTTTAAATGACACGACTTATATCATTTTACTCTCACAAAGAGTGAGACCTACATCTTTATTTTTTTTGGTCAACTCTCTCTGCTCATTTATCTATCACTTTCTCTTTCTTAAAATGACACGACTTTACATCCTTTAAAATGACACACACTTTATCCTTATTTAAATTGGCTGTTTTTTACTTTATGTTTTTTTTTCTATTGTTTTAAATTTGCAGTTTAAAACTTTTTTCTATTATTTAAATTTAGAGTTTAAAACTTTAACATAATTAATAAAACATGACAGTTAAAATTTCTTTTATAATTTTAAAAGTTATTATTTTTTAATAGTTAATTAAATTGTTAAATATTATTTAAATTGTTAAATTGCTATTATGTTTAATTGTTACTTAAATTTTATTTAAATTGTTAAATAGTTAATTCAATGATAGTTTTGATGGGAAGACTTGAAATTAATCATAGTTGAAATTGAAGGACTGTAAATTATTTGAAACAATAAAATATTATTTCATTTTTGAAAAATAACGACTATATATATATATATATATATATATATATATATATATATATATATATATATATATATATATATATATATATATATATATATATATATGGGTTATATATTTCTTCTGTCACTGCAAATGGGAAAAAGTGCAGCAACACTTATTTTTATCAGGATACGCGTCTGAATCCTGATGTGTTTTTTTTTTTTTTAGGCTAAGATACGACCCCGTATTCTAGTGATAATAATTTGCTGCAACTTTTCTCATTAGCAGCGAAAGGAGAAACGACGAACCCTATATATATAAGGGTAAATGGAAAATATTTTAGTTAAACCATTATAATCAAAGTGATACACATTTAATTAGAGCAATTCTTTATTATTAGTGATTGTTTTATTTTTTAATATATATATGTGTGGTATATCTAGGTACTATTAATTTATTCCGCTATTTCCGCAACCGCAACTCGTTTTTTAGGCTTCACCGCAACAATTTACAATCTGCTTTTAATTACTATGGTGCGAGCGCGTTAAAGTATCATGGAACGTACTTTAACGTGCTCTGCGAATAATGAGGAACCGAACCGATGGATAATAAAAAAAAAATTAAATCCATAATAAGTAAACATTGGTATAGAGGAATAACCTCAGTATCCCGATAGAAAATTAATCTCACCTGCAAAGGGAGTGGGGATACATTACAAATTTAAAATAAAAAAACCTCAGTACATCTTGTTTAACAGCACTGTAAGCAGTATTGGAGGGTAAAAAATATACTCTTTTATGTCATAAACCCAGACTCTTCGCTAACATGAGGAGCTGGTTTACTCCCCCTCCGTCAAGTTAGCAATGTAACTCCTATAGGCCAAAAAAATAAAGCACCGAGAGATTGTTATCGGTACATGTTGATAGAGGACTTTCTAATTTTTATTTTTTTTTCAAAAAACAGTTAATTCACTGTTCTAATCACATTTGTATTGCATATTCATAGCTTCTTCAATTCTGAATGCTATATTTTGTTCGTTGATAGTGTTCAAAACCTTCAAAACTGTCTTCAACAAGAACTGCAACCTTTCGATATTTATTCACTCTTTGCAATCATTGTGTTTAGTGCATCAGTGCCTGTTTAAAAAACCCACAAACAGCTGGAATTAGAAACTAATATTGAGAGAAAGAAGTGTTTTTTTTTTTTTTTTTTGGGAAAGAGGGGGTTGGGGTGGCATGCATACAATTTTCATAAATCAGAAATTGAATTCAGAAGCAATTCACAATGGTCAAACTCTTTCTCTTGCAATGTCATGTAATATATTGTCAAGATATCATAATAGCATTTGGTTGATTAACTTACCAATTTTCAAGAATAATTTGAATTTCTTGCGGGCACAAGATTATCCATCCGAAAGTTGAAAGTGGAAACTTTCTTCTTTTGTATATTGGGCATAACCTCAACTTCTACCAAAAATGTTGCACAAACAGGCCTATGGTCAGAAAATGTAAATTCCTTACGCACGTATGAAACTAGATGTAGTCCCCTTCCATGCCACAAGATTCTATCACACCTGAAAACCCTTCATCATTCAGTTTTAAAAAATAAAAAATAAAGAATAAAAAATAAAAATCTTGTCTTAAATTCTTCAAACTGGCACATACCAAGCTGGAGTTCTCCTTTTGTTCTTTGAGACTTTTACACCTTCAACATAGTAAGTATCTGAATTGAAGACATATTTATAAGTAGGTGCAAAGAAAATCTTCCCCTCTTTCCACCCTTTGAATACACGACCTGCTTCTCTTTCCCTTTTAAGCTATGAAAAGAAGAAAATACATATACAATACATAATCAGAGAAGTATATAAAACTCACCACAAAAAATGGATACAGTAAGTGGAACTCATTATATTTTTAGAAGATCATGAACATTGAACAACATATCAATATTATATGAATATCTTACATTTCATGGCAACATGTATCATATTCAAATCAAAACAACATTCTTTGGCAAGGGAAACTACCTGATCCTTGTTAAAAAGCGCAGGCCAATCCTTCTTTTCCACAAGCCATTTTGCATCATCATAACTCAAAGAAATTCTGTAATTCAAGTCCCCAAACCATATGATTCGGCTGGAGAGAAATTTTCACATATATATCAGAAATTTTGAGACCAAGGATATGAAAAATTACTCAAAAGTCATAAGCAATTGATAAATATCTGCATTATAACTCTTTTATGAATAGTTTCAAATATGCTCACTCGTGGTCTAAAATTTTGTCTGGCATCCTACTATATGCTGTCTTGCAAATCCTTGGAAACTGAGTGTTCTTTAATATCTCTATGACATCAAGATTCCGGCGAAGCTCGTCACCCTCTTTCTCTCCAGATGCCAAATGACTGCAGATAAAGCAAAGACTTGTCTGATAGAATGACATGCTTACAGATATACACCCCTGCAGCCACAGAACAAACAAGGTAATGTAGATACTAACTACACTTTTAAACTGAAAATTTTGATTTTCTTTGATAATTCTCATTTACTTGAATTGGGAAAACAAAAAATGTTTCTTTAGATTACCTTGTTTCCAAGACAACCCATGATCCCACGACTAGTGCAACATATTCTCAAATGGCCTATATACTGAACAAGCTCCTTCCTCATCCAGACACACACAAAAATTCCAACCATTTGTTTGCATGCAACAAGACTGTATTTCATTTGATTAGTAGCCAAAGTAACAGAAATTGGAAAATTGTCATCCTCCTCTTCTGTGGAAGAATCATCTGGCATTAAATTTGATTCTTGGCAGCGAAAACAGAAATCCTTAGCAGCCTTCCTTTCCATTACAAGAACACAGTTACAACTCTTTAGCCTCTTTCCATTTACTTTCTTGAAAGTTTTCTTAATCTTCTTTAAAGAAGGCTTTTGGAAGAACAATGACCCTCCAAAAGATGCAGTAGGTTTTAGTCCTTTAGAAGCCAAATCTGAAGGACCATTTAGTGATTGATTGATTAAAGCAAGCCATTTAGCAGCAGGCTCATTATCCTCTAATACCAGCACATTTCCAGCATTTAAAGGGACAATCTCCTGAAAGCTAAAAAATTGGAGAAAGACAGATTAAATGTCTACTTTTTCCTTCTTCACAAAGCATTGCTTGTTATTCAAAGTTCTTTTCAAGCAGACAACATAATGTACCAAACTATATTGGTAATTCATGTCACAGTTTTAAACATCCAAAATGATGAATGACCTTTTCTTTGACAAGGAAGGTAAGGAAGGATGGTTAGTTAACTCAAAAAAAGGGGGCATCTGCTTGATTAAAAGAGTTTTCATGGATTAAAATCAGAAATATGAGAGAGAGAGAGAGAGAGAGAACATACCCCAAAACATACATATCTGTTTCATTTCGGACCTGAAGAAAATCACTCAGATCAAGGTTCCCACTGGGGCTTTGCCCTCCTACATTCCATGTTGCTGCGAAAACTCTAAGATTAAAAACATGCAAAAAACCATGATTGTTAATATGGTCTAAATATTGTAATAACAGGAAGTTATTCAAAAAAATAAAAAATAAAAAATTCTTATAAATACCTGAAATTCTGAATTGCTTCACTAGAAGACATAATAGGTTCTGAGCCTTGATTTTCAATGGATAAATCAGAAAGTGCTTCTACAAGTAAACGCAAGCTATTATCAATATAATAAGCAAGGAAAATTTGAGATGGGTCAAAATGATCATGCCAAGAGCAAATTTGTTCTAGAATGAAGGTGTATCTGAAACATGTGAAGTGAAAGATTGTGTTTTTCTTAAAAGCCTCCTCTGGTAATAAGGGAATTTACACGCAGAAAAACTTAAGGGTGTGTTATGGATAATGAAGAAGGGGGAGAGATAAGAATAAAGATATTTAAAGTCTAAACTTAAAGTCTAAACTTGAATATATTCTCAGATTTGGCTCAAATCACTGGATGCTCTACCTAGTCTTACAGTTTTACAAGCCAATCAAGCCATATAATCACCTAATTTCTATAATTTCTACAAATTTTCCAAAAATCTTGAGAAAAGAAGAAAGAAAAAAAAACGATAAATTCTCCCAATCACTAAGCACGAAAGGTATATGCTTTTCTAAATCCCCACCTATTATCTCTTAACAGTAAGAAGGAATTCTGTGTGCCAAGATGAAAAGAGATACTGAAGAATAATTCACAGTGAAAAAGAAAAGGCACCACCATACTTACTTCACTTATTACCCTAGTTGTTGAAACCCAAGCATGAATATATTCTTATGCATTATATAAAAAATACCTTGGATGTTCCACCCAGCCAATATGAACTTTCTGTTATTAGTTAGGCCAGCTCATCTCCTATTCTTTACACTTTGGATGTGTATTTTTAAAAATATCATGATTGTACAAAATATAGAAGAAAAAAAGGTTCCAGTCAAGGGGAAAAAAGAAAGTAATAAATATTCCTCTTCAATAGAATAGTGATTCCACCTTTTCAGGAAAGCACATATTGATTCTAATAAATATTCTCTTCAATAGAAAAGTCATGATTCCATTTTTTCAGGAAAGAAAATTGAGGTGTTGAATGTTATCTCCAAAATAATAACCAAAAGAAATTGACAATGTCTATGCTAGTCACTCATAATGAAAAAAGTTACATAGCAAGAACATTGTCTGCCTCTACTTAGTTGAACCAGAATGAATTTCCATGGAACTCACCAAGGGAATCAACCGAATCTCTTTCTCTTGTCCTTCCATTTCTATCATTCATGGCTAAAACTTTTCGAATAAAAGACTGAAATCACATTCAGAAGAAGAATTACAAAAAGTCAACATTTAATCAATATTATGTGCAATAAACACTACACAACCAAAACACAGCCAGTCATATATGACTTGAGTGTTTCCAGGGTGTCAGCCATTAAATATTTTCATGACAGTGAATCAGAGACACACACACACACACACACAAGAAATCACATAAAATCAATATGAACACAAACTAAATATATTTGAAAAGAAAAACCTGCTTTTTCCTCTGCTGATTGCTTGGTATCATATCTGAAACTGCTTGTCTATCCTCCAATTCATTGTCCATCTAAATTCCCAATGAAAGGGGAGGGAGAGGGAAGATTTGTACATTAGTGCATTCCAAATATAGAAATTAATTAATGCACACTAAATTATCATTTGTGAGTAACTAATTGCAAGAAAAAAAGGCACAAAACACAAAAAATGACATTCATGAAGAAGCATATCTCGAACATTTAGAAAATATTGATACTCTTGAAAATGGTCTTAAAGCCCAATGTGATTCTTATGAAAGCCAATTTTCTCAGGCAAATGCCCTTCCAGCATTAATTAATTATCAAACAGGATATTCTCAGAAAGAGACTATAAACTGGGAAAGGTTAAAAAAAAAAAAAAAAAAAGGAACCTGAATAATCCTTGTTCTAGAACTGAGAATTCTCAGTTTGGTGTGCAACCAAAGGTTAAAACTTTTTCTTCCAAGGAGTCATAAAAACTCTCATATATACCAAACAAGTATTTGATGATTTCAAAAAAAAAGATAGAACACGAGACAGAGAAATTGGTATAGGTGCAAATAGGGAGTAGGGTCTTCCTTACTCAAGAAATTAAAATGGGATATTCACAGAAAAAAAAATTAAAATAAATAAAAAGGAAATAGTCAAAAGAGAGAATGGAATAGAATCTATTGTGTTCCTTCGTTCATATTTTTTTATTATAAGAGGGGGTGGCAAAAAGGCCATGATTCGTCCGTCTCTTCTTTGTTTTAATCTATGGGGGAAACAAAGAAGAGTTATTTTTCATAAACAATAAAAAAATGAAAAGAATTCTGAGGTTCAATGCTTGCAATTGTCATTGAAGTTTGAACCTCGTCCTTTGCACTAGTTTGAATGTCAAGTGTAGAAAGAAAAGAAGTTACTTTCTAGTATGATTTAGTCTATGGAGAGAGAGGGAGAGAGAGAGCGTAACCAACAAACCCCACGTGTGTGCCTCTGCAAATAAAATCACAAAAGTTGGTATCTACGTATTAAACCTGACGGTTTGTGCTTTGTTCCCTGTGACCGGGGCACGAAAATGGTTGCTTCTGCTTTGTGTTATGGAATAGCCTCTCCCTTTCGAGTATTTTATAGTGCTAATGGATGCTTACTCATTTACTAACTATTAGGAAATTTAAGATTCGGGTATCAGTAATCATAAAAGGGGAGAGAAAAAATAGTAAAATTACGTATTTAATTGTAAATTAAGATATTTTCCTCATTTCCATGGATTTTGTATGATATTACAATATAAAATATAATTTATTTTTTCAAAATATTTTAGAAAATTACTCTTTATTATTACTATTATTTTCATTATTGTTAGTATATATATATATATATATATATATATATATATATATATATATATATATATATATATATATATATGAACTTGGTGTTTGTCATTTTAAATTACATAATTTATGTCATTTTATGAGAGATATATACACATAAAAACGGTTATAATGAAAGAGAGAAAATAGATGGTTTTTTTTAATTTAAAATTTAAATAAAAAAATTTATTTTGTGTCCATCTCTCTCTTAAAATAACATAAGTTTATGTCATTTAAAATGACAAATACTTTTTCATATATATATATATATATATATATATATATATAATATCCTTTAAATAATTGTTCAAAAAATACGAAAATTACATAAAAGTATGACTGTTGTATTTACAAAATATTATAATCTTTTAATATTTTGCATCTAATGACTTTTTATTAAATAATCACAGTTTTTTTTTTAATAACGTTCATAACTTTCGTTGTTATTATTGTATTGTAAAACATAATTATTTGCAAAATAAATTAAGAAAGAATATTATTGAGATTGTGATTTGTTATGATCAAATCAAAGTTGAAACAACAAATATGATTGTGATTGATGGGGTAGGATATTGTAACAATCAATTAGTGTTACTACCAATGTTATTACCAATCAATTTCATCGTTAGATCGATTATGTTGATTCAACAGTTATATTTATTTTCATCTTTGTATGGTTACGATTCCCCATATTTAATGTGAAAGCATTAAATAAGGGAAATCATAATCATAAAAAGGTGAAAATAAATATAAAGTATTAAATATGAGAAATCATAACCATACAAAGATGAAAATAAATATAACCGTTGGATCCATATAATCGATCTAACGGTAAAATTGATTGGTAGTAACACAAATTGATTGTTACAATATCTTTTCCTATGATTTATTTGGGGAAAAGAGTGAAAATGACAAATTTGACATTATTTGATATCTAAGATTTGGGATTTTTTTTAATAATTTAATTATATTTATTTATTTCTAGAAGATAGTTGTCGTAATATTTATTTTGGAGAGAGTTATATTTACAACCTCTTACAATCATATCTTAACTGTTGATTTTCGCCAATCAACGGTTGTCATTTATTGTGAATTAATAATTAATTAATAAATGGGTTTGATGAGTGTCAAGTCACTGGATATAAGTATTTGTTCAGTCACTAAATCATAACCGTACAAAAGTGAATCAAAGGTGATAAAGGAAGAGAGAGAAAAAGGAAATCATAATCATTCAAAGATGAATCAATAAATATATGGAAGTAAATAAACAAAACGACGTAGTTTAATACTGACTTGACCATCCAGTGACATAATAAACAATAAACCCTTAATAAATTTGATTTGCGAAAATCTTAACCGTTGATTGACGGAAATCAACGGTTAAGATATGGTTATAAGAAGTTGTAAACGAAAATAGATTGTAAATATAACCTTCCCCATTATTTTTAAAATTTTAAATTTTGAATTAATTTGTTATTCATCTATAAATGGTGCTTAAGACTTCTTACTATATAGAAAGGAGAACCAAACTTTTGAAAATTAGCTGAGGTGTCGCATTCTCCTTAAATCTCAGCTTTCTGTTCACACTAGAGGATGTCTTGAAAACTTACTTCTTTTCCATGTAGTGAACAAAATATGTATGTTTGAATTTATGTTCACACTAGAGGATTCTTTCCGTTTTAATGTAAAAAAACTTTTGAAAATTAGCTGAGGTGTCGCATTCTCCTTAAATCTCAGCTTTCTGTTCACACTAGAGGATGTCTTGAAAACTTACTTATTTTTTATATAGTGAACAAAATATGTATGTTTGAATTTCTGTTCATACTAGAGGATTCTTTCTGTTTTAATGTAAAAAAAACTTTTGAAAATTAGCTGAGGTGTCGCATTCTCCTTAAATCTCAGCTTTATGTTCACACTAGAGGATGTCTTGAAAATTTACTTCTTTTTGATATAGCGAACAAAATATGTATGTTTGAATTTCTGTTCACACTAGAGGATTGTTTCCGTTTTAATGTAAAAATAACTGAATCATTAAAACAGGTGAGTGATTTCATTTTAAAATTCAAAATTTTAAATCAGCTGACTTATTAGATGAGATGACAAATTCCAATGTGAAGGTAAGTGGTGCATTAAATGTTTTGTCTGCCACCTCATTTGTTTTTTTTTTTTAAATTATTAGAAATTTTAAATCAGCTGACTCATTAAATGAGATGACCAATTTCAATGTGAAGGTAAGTGGCACATTAAATGCTTTGTCTGCCACCACATTTCTTTTAAATTATTAGAAATTAAAATTGATTTTCGATTTTTAAAGGAAAATCAAAAAAATTAATTGAATAAAAAATTAATTGTCCGTTTTTTTTGCATTTTAAAATATTTAATAATTCCAATGTAAAAACAGCTGAGTCATTAAAACAGGTGAGTGATTCCATTTCAAAATTCAAAATTTTAAATCAGCTGACTCATTAATTGAGATTACCAATTCCAATGTGAACGTAAGTGGCGCATTAAATGTTTTGTCTGCCACCTCATTTGTATTAAATTATTAAAAATTTTAAATCAGCTGACTCATTAAATGAGATGACCAATTCCAATGTGAAGGTATGTGGCGCATTAAATGATTTGTTTTCCACCACATTTGTTTTAAATTATTAGAAATTAAAATTGATTTTTTTTTTGATAACATATTAAAATTGATTTTTGATTTTTAAAAGAAAAATCGAAAAAATTAATTGAATAAAAAATTAATTTTTCGTTTTTTTTCGTATTTTAAAATATTTAATAATTCCAATGTAAAAATAGCTGAGTCATTAAAATAGGTGAGTGATTATATTTCAAAATTTAAAATTTTAAATCAGCTGACTCATTAGATGAGATGACCAATTCCAATGTGAAGGTAAGTGGCGCATTAAATGCTTTGTCTGCCACCTCATTTGTTTTAAATTATTAGAAATTTTAAATCAGCTGACTCATTAAATGAGATGACCAATTCCAATGTGAAGGTATGTGGTGCATTAAATGATTTGTCTGCCACCACATTTGTTTTAAATTATTAGAATTTAAAATTGATTTTTGATTTTTAAAAGAAAAATCGAAAAAATTAATTGAATAAAAAATTAATTTTCCATTTTTTTTCGTATTTTAAAATATTTAAAATATTTAATAATTTCAATGTAAAAATAGTTGAGTCATTAAAATAGGTGAGTGATTATATTTCAAAATTCAAAATTTTAAATCAGCTCACTCATTAAATGAGATGACCAATTCCAATGTGAAGGTAAGTGGCGTATTAAATGATTTGTCTGCCACCACATTTGTTTTAAGTTATTAGAAATTAAAATTGAATTTCGATTTTTAAAAGAAAAATTGAAAAAATTAATTGAATAAAA